TTCAAAGAGAATGACAATGCTCAGCTTCTTTTTAATCTCCATACAGCGTGGTAGTTGCTTGTGAATTTTTGGTTTCGGAGGGTTGCACATAATGGACGACTCAGCCAGTAGCTACCTGACATTAGAGCAATGTGGATGGAGCGGGGATTTGCAACACTATCTGACCATCCAACACGCAGTTTGGACAGACCATAAATCCCACCTAACGGCACCTTTCCTCTGTTTTCCTTGGTTATAGACCATTAATTTGAAAAATAATTGCATCTTTCCACTACATAGGGCAAGTTTTACACCATAACTCTTTCTTCAGCATGATTTTCTTCTGCTATGTGTGCGTGCATAAAATAACAGCTGAGATAATCGGCTGTACAGACGGTGTGGAATGTTACAGTGTTTTGGTGGGCTGGTATTCCTCTCTGTTGCAAAGCTGGCAGGACTTCTTGTGTAAGCATTACATACAGTCTTTCTGTGTGGGTTTCAGAAATGTGATTGTCTTGCATATTCCAAAGCGTGCCCGAGTGTCTGGAGGCCAGATAATTGCATACAGTCCACATCACCAAAATTCATTTTGTTTCATCATTTCTTCCCAAACCGTCTTGCCCACGAGCTCTGTTAATCGACCCGCTCTCAGCGGTCATGGTTGAGCCATCTGTCAATTCTAAATGTGCTTGCCTGGGCTGGCGGTACATTTGCTCTCAATAGCAACATTGTTGCTTAGCATCCCCAATTCTGCATCCATTTTGAAATATATATTATATATGTTTTATTATTTCTTGCTGTGTTGTAAGATTAAAATCTTTGAAAAGTCATTTGTGCTATCAAAAAAAAGTAGCCTGCCCACTTCCCTTCATCTTAAAGCAGCAGCATTTTAGCTCCTTTTGAGATGCTAATGATACCAAAATCAGATGTTACTGTTAGCCGTGGCAGCTGTAATTGTTACTTACTGGCAAAGTAAAAGAAACATCTGCCAAGTCTTAGCAGTGGGAATGATGACTGTAGTATAAAGTAACACTTAGGAGAATTGCCACTGCAGTAAGTGTTAAAGTATATTTACCATGCTTTTTGTTGTATGTGTTTTAAGGGTAAAGGACAACACCCTGAATCTTGGTAGCAAATTTTCACCAAAGTGAAATCAATATTAGGCTTATTTCCAGTTGCCTATTTTAATCTTGGATATTCTTGCCCTATTTATTTGCCTTATTTCTGCAGTTTTTCAGCTCTTCCTGTGGCTCATTTCCTTTAAAGGCCATTCTCCCTTCTTGTGATTGGCTACCCCTCTGAGCTGTGTGTTGGCGATGACCATATTTTGTTTTCAACTCTCGAGAATAGAAAAAAGTGCCTGAAACGGAGCATTTAGAGCAGTCGGAAGGCTGAGCTTGATTGGATTACCTTTACAGATGCTGTCCTCAACATTGGCCATTAATAGGCACGTTTAATACGATATAAGCACCCAGCATTGGAACAGTACACATATGTAGCAAAAAGTAGGGGAAAGCAAAATAAAAATACAAATGAATAAACCTTTCAAACCCATAATGTGTTTAATATCCAAACAGCTGTTTAAGAGACACTTCAGTATCTATCCTCTCATCAGAAGCCACTATATTTTACATAGGTAGTGCATAAGGCAGCTAATCTGCTCTGTTTTGACCTGCAAAACAAAGTACACACACACACACACACACACACACACACACACACACACACACACACACACACACACACAC